GTACTTCACTTGATTCGGAATAAACTGTCAAAGACGATGAAAAGTCCCAAGAATCAACGTTAATTTCTTTGCAATTGAGACACCGATGAACATGACAATCAAAGGTAATGTTTCGAGAGTATTTTCCCAAGAAGTGTCTTGCCGAAAAGCTCACATTCTTTTTTGCTACTAAATTATCGGTTTTTTTTCTGTCGATTTATTAATATATATCTCGAATACCAACAACTGATTTGTAATATTAAGTGATTGAAAAAACGGCGTGCTGTGAGCTTTTTTTATGCAAAACGAGCAAGTGCATAAAAAAATTAGAAAACAGCGGTGGAGAAACGTGTGTTTTTGAAGTTGTTAATTCAAGTTGAATTATAAGCTGCCTGGATAATCCCTTGCCCTTCTTCGACTTATAGTCAGCCTTTTACAGGGCGAAAATAAAAGCGAAACTCTACCTAGTCATTATAATCATGAAGAGAAAAACTTGACAGCAAATTGAAAGAGGTAAAGTTGTTTCCTGCTTTACGCTTTAATCATTTTGCATGCCTTTTGTTGACAACAATGGACATATTTCCCTGTGTCGCTGTTGTCATGGGATAAAAAATAAACCTAGGAATTTCCCTTGGACCTTCGTCCGAGTTCACCACATATCTGTTCAAGACCTGCAAGAGGTACTCTGGATTTATTCTGATTTTTAATACAGTTTGAAAGAAAATCTATATTTAAGATCGATATTACTCTGCAGTTTCTACTAGTGTAATATAGCTCCTTCATGCTGGACCGAAGTTTGGAGCGAAACTCTACCTAGTCATTGAAATCATATAGACAAAACTTCAATATACAGCAATTGTAAAGGGTTAAGTTGTTAACTGCTTTACGCTTCAATAATTGTGCATGCCTTTTGTTAGCAACAATGGCTCCATTTCCATGTGACGATGCTGTCATTGGGTAAAAAAACAAACCTGGGAATTTCCGCTGGACCTCCGTCGAGTTTATTACCACGTAGCTGATCAAGACCTGTATTTAACAAGTGCTCTCGATTGAAACAGTCAGTGTTTTTATTCTGATTTTTAATACAGTTGAAAGAAAAGTGAGATTTAAGATCGATGCACACTGCAATGTAAAGCCAACCATATTTTAAGCCAGACGGTCTACGCAGTACGCGGCATTCCGCGTGTGTACAGGCATGGAGCGTGGTTGGTACATGCAATTCATTTGAGGCTTGACTTAATTGTATGTATAGCCTCAAGCATAAACATCTCTATCTGGCAGGCGGGGAGGGCGGCGATCAAATGAACGCTAATTTGTTGTGCCATGCTCTCTGTTGGGCAGTCAAGACGAAAGTGAAGCATATATTATACGCCTCCCTATGTATGGTCGGCCATTAGGGCAAAAAAGACAATCACAAAATTAAAGTTAAACAAAAATACAATACAATTAAATGCAAAATAATAAACAACAATAAAAATGTAGGATAACAAAATAAAGAAACCCAAAACAAATTGAATCGTAAAAAAAATAAAAAGCACAAATTAAACATAACTAAATAAAACATTCGTGTTAAATGTACAATAAAACACACATTAATCTAACCCCAAAATTACTGTAAGTCCCGCGTCGAATGTAAACCACAAAATTACTTTAAGTCCCGCGTCGAATGTATACCCCAAAATTACTGTAAGTCCCGCGTCGAATGTAAACCCCAAAATTACTTTAAGTCCCGCGACGAATGTATACCCCCAAATTACTGCAAGTCCCGGCCGCGACGAATGTATACCCCGAAATTACTGTATTAGTCCCGCGACGAATGTATACCCCAAAATTACTGTATTAGTCCCGCGACGAATGTAAACCCCAAAATTACTGTAGGCCCCGCGACGAATGTATACCCCGAAATTACTGTATTAGTCCCGCGACGAATGTAAACCCCAAAATTACTGTAGGCCCCGCGTCGAATGTAAACCCCCAAATAAATGTAAGTCCCGCGACGAATGTATACCCCAAAATTACTATAAGTCCCGCGACAAAATTGTAAACCCCAAAATTACTTAAAGCGGAGTACCAGTCTACATGGACTGGTACACAACGGCCTATCACTGCAGCGTGGCCGCGCTGCATGGACTGTACACGTGCAACTTTTGCGTTTATTTGGAGGGGGCGTAATCATACACGAAGCCACTATGTTACATGTCAAGTCGGATTGGAGGGGAAATTTTTTTTGGGGGGGGGCAGCCACCATGATCAATTAATATTGTCAGATTGGGCATTTTTTTTTTCTTTTTTGAGAAGTGATTAATAGAGAACATAGCAAGGATGGACCGATATGTGCAGGCTAAGTTCAGGGAATAATTTTAATTGTTGGAAAATTCCAAGAAAATTGCCAATTTGCCGCCGTGAAGTAAAGTTGTTTTGTTATCAGCATCAGCAGGAAGGCCGTTCCTCTTTCTTTTTACTTTTTGGGAAAGGAGTCAAATGATCTGAGGACTGAAGGCTCTGCGAACGGATGAACATTTTTGACTTTATCTTGTGACCAGCATGACTATAAGTCTTGTGAGTTGTAGGGAAAACTTCTGTTGATTTACACTGGTATGGATATCGGTACCAGTGTAGGTACATAATGCCTAGAGCGTATTTCAGAGACAAATTTGAAAAACGCGAATACAATAAAGAAGATTTAATCCCTCTTCCTCAGTCAAAAAGGTGAGATTCTCGTGAACGTTAAGAGAAATTAACCGATGAAAAGATGCAACTTGTCTTTGACTTTTATGTTTATAAAGGCAGGCACTGCGTACACCACCATCTTTTCCTCAAAAAAAAATTGTCAAAATGGTCAGAAATTGCCTCAGTTCGCACCACAGAGCATCTAGAATCCAAAAATTCAAACCACACGCCGTAATTTTTTGGACCCACTTTTTGGAGGACCAATTTTGGAGTGAATACATAGAAGACTACACATGGTGGCTGATGAAGTTCGGAAAAAGGACCCCAAAATATCCTCTGTTTCACCCGTCACAAAAACAACAGGTGGGACGGCATAATTATTATCACAGTGTATAAATCACATCATTAAGTGAATTAGAAAAAAAAACCACAAATGTATGCAAAACAAACCTTGCATCGCCTACACCGGAGATGGTTTTTTAAAAATCCTGCCCTCTGGGAACATACTAACCTAATCGGCCCGCAGGCGGTTTATGCGTTGACAAGTTAACCCACCCACCGCCACCACCTTGTATCGGAACCGGAACTTCCTAAATGCGTATTTTACATATTAAAAACCTAACAAATACACTCTGGGCAGCTCAATTATGTAACTACACTGGTATCCATACCAATGTAAATCAACAGAAATATTCTCAATCAAAAATGTTCGCAGAGCCTTCGGTCCTCGGATCATTTTGACTCCTAGCCCAAAAAGTACAAAAGAATGAGCAACAGTCCTGCTGATGATTATAACAAAACCCAAAACCCAAATTTTTCCCCTTTAAATAGTACCTCACGGTGGCAAATTGGCAAATTTTCAAACAATAAAAATTATTCCCTGAACTTAATAGCCTGCACATATCGGTCCATCCTTGCTATGTTCTCAGCTATAAATCACTTCTCAAAAAAGAAAAAAATGCCCAATCTGACAAAATTAATTGATCATGGTGGCTGCCCCCCCCCCCAATAAAATCCCCTCCCATCGGCCTCCAAATAAACGCAAAAGTTGCACGTGTACAGTCTATGTAGCGCGGCCACGCTGCAGTGCTAGGTTGTTGTATACCAGTCCGTGTAGACTGGTACCCCGCTTTAAGTACTTTTGGGGTTTACAATTTTGTCGCGGGACTTATAGTAATTTTGGGGTATACATTCGTCGCGGGACTTACATTTATTTGGGGGTTTACATTCGACGCGGGGCCTACAGTAATTTTGGGGTTTACATTCGTCGCGGGACTAATACAGTAATTTCGGGGTATACATTCGTCGCGGGGCCTACAGTAATTTTGGGGTTTACATTCGTCGCGGGACTAATACAGTAATTTTGGGGTATACATTCGTCGCGGGACTAATACAGTAATTTCGGGGTATACATTCGTCGCGGCCGGGACTTGCAGTAATTTGGGGGTATACATTCGTCGCGGGACTTAAAGTAATTTTGGGGTGTACATTCGACGCGGGACTTAATTTGGGGGTTTACATTCGTCGCGGGGCTTGCAGTAATGTTGGGTTTAGTTTAATTTGTGTTTTATTGTACATTTAACACGAATGTTTTATTTGTTATGTTTATTTTTTACGTTTCAATTTTGTTTTGTTGTCCTACATTTTCATTGTTAATTGTACGTTATTGTTTAAGTTTGCATTTTATTTTATTTTATTTTTGCTTAACTTTAATTTGGTGATTGTCTTTTTTGCCCTAATGGCCGCCCATACCTATGAGTCTCAGACGTTTATTGTTATAGACGCAGTGGACTACAAAACCCATAACAATAGTTCCGTTTGCCCCTTGCGAGTTTTACTAAAGATTGTTATGTAATCTCCCAGACAGTTCAGTTAAACCCTTGCAGCTGAGAAAGTACAATCTTAAAGACTTATAATTATGTATGGAATTCACCCACTGTAAAAGAAGGTACTCGATCGTGTTCCATAAATAAGATTAATACTAGATCTAGATTAATCTCTTCTATAAGATGGAATTTTGAGTCGAGGTGATAGAAATCAAAACTATAGTTGTTTCCTGCTTTACTCTTCAATAAGTTTGCAGGTCTGTTGTTAGCAACAATGGATCATGTTTGTCACGATGTCGTCATTGACTACAAAATAAATCTGGGAATTTCCCTTGGGCCCCCGTCCGACTTTTACCATGCAGCTCTTCGAGACCTGCAACAAATGATCTCGACTGAAACAGGAAGTGCTTTTGTTCAGATTTATTTAACACAGTACGTTGAAAGTAAATCGAGAATTAAAATCAATAACACATACTTGAAATCAGACGGTCTATGCAACACCCGGCGTACCGCGTGTATATAGGCATGGAGCGGGGTTGGTACATAATTTTAGGACTGATGATGTTGCACTATGCGACTCTTATCTTGACGGTTCATGCAAGCAAGGAAGCGTGTGGGGTGTGTGAGTGTAGCGACCACGGGACTCGCATAGACTGCAGTGATAGAGGTCTGATGGAGTTACCGAAGGGGATACCAAACGACACCAAAGTCCTGTAAGTCAAACAATTATTATTGCTGGCACTACAACGTCCTTGTTTTACCTTTCTGACTGACTCCCCCCCCCAAAAAAAAACAACTCCCTGTCTCGTTTTTCTCTACCCCCGTTTTCCTTCAAGAACATCATAGGAAAGAGAAAACCGGGGACAATGTTGTAAACAAAAAGCCAAAGAGAAGAATCGAATCCCTCTTGTACTGTACCTTAAATTGAAATTTTTCACTGTACATTAAACTGAAACTTTTACTGTACAATACAAAGACTGGAGAACCACTGAAATGGCATTAAACTGCAAAAAATATATACGTATACGTATGAAATAGATTTGAACAGGGACCTCAGATGATGGTCCCCGTCCCCGTTATTCGATTTTTTTTCCACGGTCGATATATCTAAGCACGCAAATTTATGCAACCCTGCGGCCCAGCCAATCGGAGTCGACTACATTGTGACGTCATTACATTTCGAAATCTGGCTATATTTGTGATTTTTCATTTCAAATGCAGTGTTTTTTTTTTATTTGTAATACAAATATGGGCATATATCTATTGGACAAGCTTGGCACTGTGTAAGATAATACACAGCGCATGACCGCTGCCTGCCTTTGCAAATGACCAAATACCCTATATAGAAAGCGCCCATTGATTGGTCAAGATCTAGAGGTCAAGAGGCGGTTGTCTTCCATCATTAATCAGCAAATCTGATCATAGACTACCAACTTCCAAACCAATCCCCCTCCCCCAACCCCCCCCCCCCCCCCCAAACCCCCCCCCCCCCCCCCTTCACCGCGACTGCTGACTGACTGACTGCTCCTGGAAAGCTGGGTGGTGGTTTCAGATAGGATTACATTGCAACAATGAAGCAGCCAAGAGTCTTTTAGTATCTCTCTGACTGACTGACTGCTCCTTGTGAGCCGGGCAGTGTAATCATTTAACGCCGATGAATGCGCTTCAACCCCTAGGTGTAGACCAGATGGATAAAAACACAGCAGTGAATAGCCATTCACAATCAATTGAATAGTATATTGTGATCTTGTACCAGCTTTACTACGGTTGCTTTGTCTTGTGTATTTTTAGTTGATTTCATTGCATAATTGATTACAACAAAGCAAGCATTTCTTGAAATAAAAAGCTCGTATAACTTTTTCTTTTCCAAATTCAACTTCGACACTGCAGGTTTATGTCAAGTTGTACGGTGGCCCTGGAACGACATGTTAATATTGACCTTTTTAATGTGAGCCTTGTAACCTCTTAATATTGACGTTGTACCTTCGCAATATGCACGTTGCCACACGTGGCTTAATATCGCATTTTGGAAGTTGTTCCTTCTTAATGTGAATGTTCCAACTTGTTAATATTCACGTTCGATCTTGTCAGCAAATTTGCACTGTTATGCAAGTGAATAATGTTATGCATCTTGTTAATATCATTGTTGAACCGTCCTCCTTCGCAATGTACGAAGTCCTTGCCAAGCCCTATAGTTAGACAACCAGTTATGATGGCGTTTCAATCTGACGGCTGTTCAATGTCACTTAACCTGGGCGTCTATCTTGTATTGATTGTTATCATGACCCAAGGCTCTCTGTTTTATTTCACTCATCTTTTAAAATTCACGTTCAGGCTAACCATAACCCAAGGTTGGGCATACATGTAAAAACATGGATCCTGAAGCAGATTTGTCATAGTTTCAAATAACCTGATCTAATCATTTCAACCGTTTACTATACACACATTTATACCGGTTTGCTTTCTGAATGTAATGATTTCTTTCTTCCTGTACTTTCATCTTTGCCATATCCCAATAATTTTTGACTCGCCAACAGGGTTCCTCACCAAATAGTATGAGGGTACCCGCTGTTTTGACGAGCATTTCGTTTATGGGCTATTGCTAAGTCGAACCCTAAATATCCCCCCCCCCCTCCCGGATATCCGAGCCTGACCGCAACATGAAGAATATTCGCAATTGGCTGACTACCAGTCATGCATGCATGAACTCCAAGCAAACAACTTCGTATAGGGTGCCCCGGCTACACGTGATTCGCGCAACGGTGCGGTCGTGATGCGGCGCTCTCTCGCGGTGGTGGGTTATCGCTGCAGCGGGTAATCGCGCATTCAACCATAAAAACGTCTAGCCCTATAGACAAGCTCGAGTATGTTGCGGGTGTATGCACTGAATAAACAATTAAATAATTGACCGAAGCCACCTGTGCCCCGCGCGCTATCGTTTTTACAGTAACTGACGAGAATATGACCGTTGGTGAAATCCCCGATATTTCCCCGAAGTAATAAATATCAATGTATGCCCTTACTATTGTTGTCATGCTTTGTAAGACGTGGATATTACTTCGTAACGGTACCACCGCATATGTTCCTTTCAATTACATCTTTAGATCATACTCTTATACTATATGCGATCACGTGACCAGTTGTCGAAGAAAGCTCACAAATTTCTTTCTCCCTGTGATTGTAGGACTGCCAGATTTTACCTTCTACCCAAGATTCACAAGGCTGGCAACCCCGGTAGACCCATCATCTCCGGTAATGGCTCACCCACGGAACACATCTCCCTGTTCATTGACAGTTTTCTCAAACCCCTTGTCCCACAGATTTCGTCATACATTCACGACACCCCAGACTTCCTACGCAAGCTTGAAGGAATCAAGGACCAGATTCCCAGCACAGCCATCATTGGGACTTTCGACATCTCATCTCTGTACACCAACATCCCACATGAGGAGGGTGTTCGTGCTTGCTCCTTGGCTCTGGCCAAGGCAGGAAAGACGACTCCTCCCATCAGTGATGTAGGCACCCTCATGAGACTTATACTAACGAAGAACAATTTTTCCTTCCTTGGTGAACACTATCTACAGGTACACGGCACTGCAATGGGCACTCGCATTGCCCCGTCGACGGCTTGCCTCTTCATGGGTGACCTCGAAGAACGCATTCTTGCCTCGGCCCCATGTCGCCCTTGGATCTGGTGGAGATATATTGATGATGTTTTCTTCATCTGGACCAGGGATGAGGACAGTCTCTTGACCTTCACTAACCACATCAATTCCTTCCACAGAACCATCAAATTCACATCGGAGTTCTCGGCTCACCAAACCCACTTTCTGGATGTCACCGTCCGCAAGCAAGGCAACTCACTAACCACTGACCTGTATTCCAAACCCACAGACACCCACCAGTACCTCCACTCCTCCAGCTGTCACCCCAGGCACTGCAAAACTGGCATAGCGTTTAGCCGGGCACTCAGACTCAGAAAAATTTGTTCTAATGATTCCGATTTCTCCCGCCATACACAGATACTGAGGAACAACTTGGTGGCCAGGGGTCACAGCTCTCGCCAAGTTCATCGTGCCATTGCCAGAGCTAAAATTATCCCCAGAAATCTAGCTCTCACGGGAAAGGCCCCTGATGCCATGGCCAAACCCATGATTCCCTTGGTTACCACGTTTCACCCCAATCTCCCTTCCCTCCGCAAAATCACTAATGACAATCATCATATCCTCCATACTTCAGATCGCCTTGCCCGCGCCATCCCCAACGGCCCCACATTGGCTTACAGGCGTCCTCGAAATCTACGGGACTTGATTGTTCGAGCTGAAGTCCCATCCTTAGATGCATCCCCTCCCACCCAGCATGGTACTTTCAAGTGCAGTTCCAGATGTGTTGTCTGCCAGATTCATATCCAGGAGTCTGACTCCTTTTCTGGCCACTCTTCTGTCACTACCCACAGAACCATTGGTAACATCACTTGTAACACCTCTAATGTCATATATCTTATTTCTTGCAGGGTCTGTGGAGTGCAGTACATGTATGTAGGTGAGACTAAGAATACGCTCAAGAAGCGTTTCTATGCCCACCGGTCAACGGTCAACACCAAGAAACTAGACACCCCTATTGGTCATCACTTCAACCTGCCTAACCACTCCATTTCTGATATGATTTTGCAGGGCATTGAATCTCTTGGCCATCGCAAGGACTCAGTTCGCCTCAGCAGAGAGAAGGTGTGGATGAATCGTCTTCGAACTATTCAACCACATGGTCTCAACATCCAACTTGGAAATGATTTATCCTTTTCTCCCTCCATTGTCCTCTGTTTCAGATAATCCATCTGGTCTTCCTTGTTTGTGTTTACCCATCTTCCCCCATCTTTCATCCCTTTCCACCTCAATACTGCCCCCCGCATCATCCCTTCACTCTCACACTCTTTTGTCCGTTACCACTCCCTGTGACCTTTGATCCTTCTCCTTTCTGGTCCCTCCCCTGTTTACACCAGACCCCTTGTGGTTTGCCATCTCCCTTTGTTTCTTTGTTCTCCCCTCCACCCTCCCCTGCATCTTCCCACACCTTTCCCACCTAATCCTGATCCTTTTGTGTTTCTTCTTTCAGCCCTGCGTGTTTGTGTGCAACCCCATGTTAATGTATGTACCTCTGTCATTTCTGTTTTAGCCTCTGAAGAAGAACTTGCTAAGTTCGCAACGTCAGGCCACATTAATTTTAAGATTTACTCTTATACTAATTAAATACGTGGATCTCGACGGAAATCTCTCGTAACTATGATTAAAAACACAAAAAAAAATCTGAATAGGGCTTGAAGGATGTAAAGTATTATGATAAAAGCCTTCTTAACGTGATCACAGAACACTGTTTTGCTTTGTTGTAATTGACGGAGAGTATACCGTCAAGAAATTAATTAGTCTCATGAATTGAACATATCTCTTCTAGTGAAACAGCGCTCATTATATAGCCTGAACATGAATTATAAAAGATATGTGAAATAAATCAGAAACCCTTGATTCATGATAAAAATCACTACAAGGTAGACCCAGGTTAAGTGACCTGAAACAGCTGTCCATCATAACTGGTTGTTTAACTATAGGGCTTGACAGGGACTTCGTACTTTTTAGAATGCATGATTCACATTGCGAAGGAGGACAGTTCAACAATGATTTTAACAAGATGCAAGGTCAAATGTTCACAATGTGAAGGTACATGGTTCATATTGCGAAGAAGCAAGGTGCAACGTTGACATCAAGCATGATCAATGGTATACATTGACAAGATCGAACGTGAACATTAACAAGTTGGAACATTCACATTAATTAAGAAGGAACAACTTCCACAATGCGATATTAAGCTACGTGCAACGTGCATATTGCGAAGATACAACGTCAATATTAAGAAGTTAAAAGGTTCATATTAAAAAGGTCAATATTAAAATGTCGGTCCAGGGCCACAGTAAAGTTGTGCTTAAAACATTTCTCTTGAACTTTCATCCCGAAAATGATTCAGTTGATGAAGGAATTTGGCATTAATATACAATATACGCTAATATCGGCCTATAATAAAGCCTTGAATGCACAATGTTCATTTTCAGAAACCTTGCCGAGAATGCCTTGAAGGAGATACGTAAGCATGGTTTCTTGGACCTTCCGCACCTTATTGTGCTGTAAGTACATTGCAAGGCTTATTGTTCTAATGGGCGACATGGCACGAAGCAAACAACGCCCTTGGCCTTCTGTACAAAATAATATTATTATTTAGCACTTCAATTGCCTAGTAGAAACATGTTATCAACACCGTTTCGTTTGTTTTGAAGTGACCTGTTCTCAGCTTAGTTTTACACAGCAGTAAGTACATACGCTTACTGACATGGAAAGAATCATTACAGCTTGCAAGCCACATGAAAATGGATCCAGATATATTGGACATTTTACATCCTTTGTTTTTACTGAGTTACACATGTATACCCGATCTCTTTAAAATATAATTAGTCCTGATTGCAAAGTTTCAATGTGTACGTATTTTTTTACGAAACAAATTCCACTATATTCCAACCTCGTCTAGAAGAGTAACTTTATTTTGACCTTGTTTCCCGGAAAAAAAAATATATTTTCGATTTTTTTCCCCCTGTATATTGATTCAACACAGCAACGGCAAGTAATGTTTGCTGTGAATTATCACGTTCACGCCACCTCATCAAGAGCCCCCATTTCCATGTTGCTTATTTTTATGTTGTGCTGCCGTTTTTACTGCGGGCACGACCCTAAAAAGATAAATTTGCGATGGCGCCATTTTCCGGCATAAATATGAACATCTCTGCCAAGTTTCACGTTTTTATGCAAAGGTGCACAATTCATCGATATTTTGTCACATATCCGCTGGACTTATAATAGTTGGATAAGATTGCTACTTTTTAATTTAAAATGCACTGTAAGCACAAGAAGGCACCAGATTATTACTTATTTGCATATGTGTGCATAGCCTTGGTCAAGGCGTTTGTACCTATGGTATTCGGCGGCATATCTTTGCCGCACACTTCAAACAGAACAACGAAGACTAAAATATTCTCCAGAAACCATGAGAAAACGTCGCGCGACACTATTCTACCGACTGCCGTTGACCAAAAAAATTGGCCAACAATGCTGGGACCAGCAGATGAACGCTGGGCACGTACGTCCACATCGCATTGTTCAAACACGAGTTGGAAATTTAACATGTTGACGATCGTGATGGAAGTTCTCGGAATTGAACGGGAAATTTCACTTTTCATCCGACTCGTAAGCAAACTTTACTACCTCGATTTCAATCATCGATCTCTCATTTTACCTCAGGAGGCGTATCTAGTAATTTTGAGGCCGTTTTTAGGTAAATCTTGTGTTTTTGTTGGCCAATGTTGGTTTTCTGGGGGTCAACGGCAGTCAGCAGAATAGTGTCGCACGACGTTTTCTCATGGTTTCTGGAAAATCGCCACCAAAATCATCGAAAAATTTCCTATGTTTGTCTTCGTTGTTCTTTTTGAAGTCGATTACTAGCTTCATGAACGTCTGCTGCATCGTATGAGGTATGAATTATGGAATCTGGGTCGGAATAATATAGGGACAATAACCGTTTTTGTAATGCACTGGGGATGTACAGTCCGAGATTTCGGGATTCTTACGACCCGGTGATTGTAACGTAGTTTTGACTCGAGCTCTAATGCGATAGGCAATAGAGCTGGAGTTACTCAAGCTAAGTAACTATATGCAATATTGAGTGAAAATGTACATTTTTCTAAGAATCCCTTTTTTTTTCTACCAGTTTTTGATCGTAGAAGGTACAATTTTGAATGTTTGTCAAGTGCCCAACACCACACACACCTATATCACACATCATTTCATATGTCTACTCTTAGATTAGGCATAATGTGGAACTGTCACATGGGGGAAAATTTGTCTTTTGGCTCATTTTGGTCTAAAAGTCACAATTTTGGGTCAAAAATATGATTTTACACATGTTGTATTCTATATACCTGTGGGACCAGCCTGAACCATCGAGGAAAGTTTTACACCAAATTGACGTTCCATAAATTCACAAATACCATATGAAGATTATAAAATGTAAAGTAACTAAAGGCAATATTGAGTAAAAATGTGAATTTTTCTCAAAATCGTGTTTGTTTTTAGGGGGAACATTAAGGTAACATTTTGTTATTTGTCCGTTGCCAAACATCACACACCTACATCATATAAGGAACACAATTGGTTAAATTTGGTATTTCAGCAAATTATGCCTTTTTATCAGCAAGCAAATGAAAAAAAAAACGATTATAGATCATTTTCACAATAACTTGACTACGACTTAGTGTATTTCTCGCCAATTTAATTTAATAATTGTAGACATCTATGGAGCAAGTCCCATCCATGGAAGCAAGTTTTACAGCTAAATGTATATCATCTTCCATAAATTCACTACAGAGATCTTAGTATTACAAAATGTACAGTAACTATATACACTATTGAGTCAAAATGGTTTTCTCAGAATCGTATTTCTAAAAAGCAAAATAAATGTTGAACTGCACAAATGTTATATTTAGTTTTACAGCATTACATGTTATATTTAGGCATAAGATGGAACTGATGAGTGAATTTTTTTTTATAAGAATATGATTTGTTGCTACAATCCTGGCCAAATCTCGCTGGCCCCCCAGTTCAATGTTGGCTCTCATGCGCGGTGCGCAGTGTGTGCTCCATCAGCTGGAAACACAACATTGACCGGGGGAGTGGGTGACCGTGGCAGGCTCAGGAAGTGTCCCAACCATTTTGGCCGGGATTGTAGCATGAACTCTTGTCAGTGCTGGAGGTTTCTCTGATATACATCTGAAAAAGTCCCTAATTTGTAGCAGCATTAAAGATGTAGCCGGTCTGTTTAGTTCACAAGTTAGTAGAGTAGATACCTGAATGTGTCTGCATGTTTCATCCTCGAATGCAGCTTGGTACTGCGGCGCTGCGAGCGTGGCTGCCCTTAAATCAGGTTGCTCTGGCCTCTTGACTTAAACCTTTGGTGAGCGAAGAGAGCAGTGATCTCGGTGACCGAGGGAATGTGTCCGTTCGGAAGGCCGTATGCCGACATCATGTACAAAGTGGTCTCCTTAAGGATGTACAATTAAGGGAAGGACATGAACTGACCGACTGAACAAACGCTGAAACCTTTATTTATCAGACAACAACGAAAATCAAGTTCTTTTAATACTCCATTGCGTTGAATTAGAATGAAGGGGTCAATCAACAATAATTACAGAATGAAAAGGCACCTGCGTCAGGGGTGAACTGTTCGCATCGCCCCCCACGCTCTTTTGCAACTTACTATCGGGGACCCCAAAGTTACCGGCGGCAGGACTCCCGAGGCCCCAGTGGATACAGCCCACGAGGTAGCAAGACGTACACGGACCAAGCTTCAGATCCCCAGTGTGTCTCCGGCTACTGACCCCCTGTCCTTGCCCAGTCGTTGGCACGTCGGTGCAGCAACACGACAACGCACAAACGTCTGTTCTCCACGAGACGCCGCAACCCACGTCCGTTCTCAACGATGCGCTGTGATCAACTCCTAATTTGGAACGCGCGCACGGTTCTAACTACAGAGGGCGCTGCGCAAGCTTGCTGGCTCTTGCACTATAAATTACTCGCTGCAAGCACACCATTACGCTACAGTACCAAGGAGTGAAAGGATGTGTGATCATCATGTCCCTGGACACACGGTTTTCGCAGTCAGCTACTTTTCCAGATATGATGTTTGGTTTGGCAAGAAGGTTTAGTATATTCTGAAAGCTAGAGGAGCTACAATGTAAGCGCTTTGCAAATCACTCCAAACCGGCAGAAAACAGGAAAAGGTGCTAATAAATGCAGTAATACAGTAGCTAGTGGTAAAGTCGTATGAACACAGCGTGAAAGGTAATGAAGATAACGTGGAATGTATCTAAGGTCAAAGGTCATAGATCAACGGTCAAATCAAGTCAATTATGATGCAATTCGTAAAAGTTTTGATTCAGTTTTTATCTCTGAGGGTGGCATTGGAACGGGGTTTGGCGAGTACCATCCCGTTCGTTGGTGACATAGGGATGGTAACCCCAAGCCGGTAAGAGCGAATTGTTAAGTTTTGCGACTCGACCTGTTGAGGCGACAAACAACAGTTCAGCTCGAGTTGACATCTCATCAGTGGGTCCATGGCCACTGAAAAGAGAGGCATGGGTCCATAGTGATGTGGGTCAGATGGGTAGTTTGGAGCGACCAAATCACAGGCCAAACATAACCCCTGATCGGTACAGCGGAAAGGTGCTCTGGAAGAGCACCTCCGCCATTTTGAGTCGTGTCATGAGGTCAAAATGTGGAGCGAGGAGCAGGCTGCGAGTTGGTTAGCCGCAAGCTTGCAGGGAGACGCTCTACAGTTGTTGGGTGACTCTGGCCACAAGTACACGTATAGTGCGCTTGTAAAATTGTTGGAGCGCAGGTTTGGGTCAGCTCGACAGAGCGAAAATTATCTCGTCGAACTGAGACATCGGCGCCAAAAGCCAAAGGAGACTCTGTTTGAATTAGGGCAAGCGATTTACGAATTGACAGCGAGAGCATACCCTGAGTTGCAGGAAGATGCTCATAAAAGGTTGGCTAAGAACCACTTCACAGATGCTGTTGACAGTTATTCAGTTAGGGAGGGCATCAACAGGGCTCGTCCAAAAACTTGGGATGAAGCAGTCCAGGCCTCCATGGAGACTGAGATATTGAGAAGGTGGAACAGCACAGATTAATTGCTGGACCGGAAGCATTGCGGTGTTTCAGATGTAATGACAAAGGGCACTTCGCCCGGGAGTGCAAGAAAACTCCAAAGCAGGGAAACGTCAGTCAGCCCCCGTAGAACCCGCGGGAGGGCTGAGAGGTCAAAAGGGTTCAGAAGACAACACAGTGACAGCGAGGCTGGTGGTGGACAGAAAAGGTCAAAGCTTGGGGACGGGCAACGAGTCATAACTCTGCCCTATCTCAGTCGTGGAGCTCGGTATGGTTTGTTTGTTGACAAGTGTTGATTTTTGATCGACGTGGGGGCCACCAATACTTTAATAATTGGTACGGTGTACTACCAAATTCCGAAAAAAAAGAGGCCCGTTTTACAGACGGATAATGTTCAGGTGAAGCAAGTTGACGGTAGTCAGCTCGCCGCGTTGGGTATAGCTTGGGTAGAGGTACAAGTGGGTCGAACCACGCACCAAGTCAGGGCAGTGTTTGTGAAATGAAATACTGTGGTATCCTGGGCATGGATTTCCTGGTACCCTCAGGTGGAAATCTAGATTTCCAGTTGAAAGAGTGGGGGCTCAGTTGTGAGTGAATCAAATGCACCAATCGTGCTGGCGAGCCTTTTGTTGGTCGTGTTGTAGTTTCTCAAATTACGGTGATTCAGTCAGGTCATGAGGCCGTGGTCCCGGGTATAGTTGCTCGGAAGGGTGCCGACTTGGTCGGGCCTGCCATCGTCGATGGAAGGTGGCGGTGACCTAGCCAAGCAAGGCTTGGTGTTAGCCATATCTCTGGTACCATGAGGACGTCCGGAAATGTCTTGTAGACTTTCAGGATGTGTTGTCCAAGGGTGACCATGACATTGGTCGCACGGACGTGGTGCGGCATCACGTAAATACTGGTGATGCTAAGCCGGTGAAAGAACTGATGAGGCGTCATTCGTATTGTCAGGAGGAAATTCAGAGGCAAGTCAGTGATTTGGGAAAGAGGGGGGGGGGGTGATTGAACCTTCCGACAGTCCATGGGCGGCAAATGTTGTTTTGGTTGACAAAACAGATGGTACGAAACGCTTCTGTATTGATTACAGAAAGTTGAATTCGGTGATCATCAAGGGTGCCTATCCTGTGCCGCGCATTGATGAAACATTTGATGCGTTGGGTGGGGCGAAGTGGTTTTGTACACTTGATTTAGCGTCGGGATACTGGCAAGTCGCTCTGGATGAGGACGCCAGCCAAAAGTCATCATTGGTGGTGAAAAGCGGGTTGTACCGGTGGAAATGCATGCCTTTTAGAGGGGCTAATGGAAAAAAGGTCATGACCGGCTTGCAGTGGGAAATCCTACTGATTTATTTGGATTACATCATCGTGTTTGGCCAGTCAATGAGGGAGACCCTAGAGCGTCTCCGAGTTGTGTTTGACAGGCAAAGAAACGCTGGGCTTAAACTCAAGCCCAATAGGTGTCATTTGTTTCATATGTCAGTGGCTTACCAAGGGCACATTGTGTCCTCAGAAAGGGTAGCCAGCCACGGATCCTCAGAAGATCAAGGCAGTGGCAAGTTGGCCTGTTCCGAAGTGTGTACAAGCTGTGCGAAGTTTTTTAGGCCTCGCATCGTACTACTGGAAGTTCATAAAGGGGTTTGCAGAAGTGGCAAGTCCACTTCATGCATTAACCGAGAAGTCAAGAATGTTTGTGTGGACTGAGAGTTGTCAAGAGGCATTTGACGAGCTGAAGGGCAGGCTTCAAGCCGCCCCAGTTTTGTCATATCCGATGCCCGAGGATGACTTCATCTTGGACACCGATGCCAGTGGTGAAGGTATCGGGGCGGCGTTGTCGCAGGTCCAGGGTGGTGACGAAAAGTGCTTGCGTATGCGAACTGGAAGCTCAGCAAACCTGAGCGAAATTACTGTGTCACTCGTATAGAGTTGTTGGCTGTGGTTGTGTACTTGTAAGGCCGCAGGGTAACGGTCAGAATTTACCATGCCGCATTGCGGTGGGTACTTAATTTTAAGAACCCCGAGGGTGGATTGAGGTCCTGTCTCAATATGACTTGGTCATTGAGCACAGGAGTGGCAAGAAATATGGTAATTCTGATTGGTTGTCGAGACGGCAATGCAAACAGTGCGGTTGTGAGGAGGTGGTCAAGGAGGATGAGGCAACTGGTGTAGTACCCGAGGTTCGGCATCAGGGGAGTGAGTTTTGGTTAGGGGCGTAGTCACAGGATGACGGTAATTGGTCGTCCTGAGTAAATGCTGCCACTTCAGAAGTTCGGGAAAAATACTCACAACACTCCAAGGTGTTCGATACACACATCAAATTAAAGCTTGTTTCATCATCTTTTATTTTCTTTTCAATTTTCGGGGGGGGGGGGGTCAACTGATGACTTTCAGGAGAAATTTCCATCTATAGATGATCACCCCTGAAAATAGTCCTGAAGCACATCGCCATTTTGAAAAACGATGCCTACACTCCATTGCAAAATAGAGCGCTTTTGGGGTCCAAATTACATCCAAATTACACAGAACTGCAAGCTCCCAGTCCTGTGCACGGCTTCCACCCATATTTTTTACAATGCCTCAGGTTCATGGCCCACAGCATGCTCAAATACTGAAGATTTTGAGGGCATGCAAATCGTGATTTGGCCGGCGTAGGCAATTTCGGACCGATTTACTGGTCTGCACCCATAAATGCGTGCCTGGAGATTACATTTTGGCTTTGGAAGGCTTTGATTGTTAGGTGAGATACTGCTTGTGTGCCTAGTTTCGGGGCTCAGCTGTTTCAGGTGTTGAGTTCTCCGGGTGTCTGGAGAAGCGGGCTAGAGCGTAGCTGCGACAGCGGGCAGAAAAGTCGGTGAATTACTTGTACTCCACATGTGTAGTTGCTTAGGCGATTCGTGTACAAAGTCTGTGTAGCTGTACAGGGGTTGCGCTGGTACATGTAGCTGAATTCTGGCTTACACACACGGCGTAACGGGTACCCTGCTAACGGACCGTATACATTGCTAAGCGGCTGTTGTACGCTTGTGACCCTGTGTTATTGCTAACTTAGCGATTCATAACTAGCGCTGTGTATATATGAAGTCACATGGACCACATTGGGGTCAACACACCTTGGGTCAGACAAATGAACAAACCACTACTTAGTCTATAAATAATACTGAACTAGAAAATCTTTAATTTGAAAACTCGGTCAGAACTCTATATCAAAATCTATAACACCAGCGCTGATGATGATAATCAAAAAAAAAAACTTTAAGAAGGCCTACATGTAAATGTTTAGGTCAACAATGTCACTCTAAGGCAATCAAGTCCCAATCCAAAAATGTTGATCGACTAGTCAGTTCAGTTCAGTTCAGTTCACATCACTTCGTGGAGTTCCGGCGAAACTACAGAAGTTCAACGTCACTGTATACGCTGCACAGTAAACTAAACGGTTCCTTCACAAGATCCCTCCTGCTTGGAGATAGTAGTTCACCTAATGCAGACAGCATACATGTAATTCATGTCCTTGTGAAGATGTAACATGTGTAAGCTCACACGTGGCCAGTCCAGTCACCAACGGCTTGCTCCACTCAAGATGTGGAGCAGAGTTCCAGACTGTGACTGTCCAGGCAGAAAAATACAGATCAAGTTAATCCCCAAACTATCAGGGTACACCTGAGAGTAAAAGAAAAGCAAAATATGTACCTTAACAAAAGGCGTGTGTCTCTACACAAAGCAATTTAGGGGGTCAATCCAGATTGTAGATCAAATAATCCACCCAACTTCTAGCATCAGTACACTTTAAACTTGTTCAATTTCTAACATTACTCAACATGTAACTTAATTTGAATCATCCCAGTATGTGAGGTTTCATTACGGAAAGGTATATTGGTAACAAGATCAATTATTTCTTCTAGATGCATTAAAATTGGCTCCCGATTTATACAATTCACATTTGTTTCTGTAACGTTAATTTCAACATCAATTATCAACACAACAAATGTTATAATCATCCCAATATCCTTCACTTATTCTCACCTGAGAGCCACAAGCTGTAGGATTGTCAATCAATGTCAAACTAACAGTTGACTTATAGCAAGAATCTTGGCATTTCACTGCGGGAATTTCGCCAAAACATGTGCGAACATGTCGTCTGCCATGGTTACAGTACACGCGTGTCTCATAACTGCTTGAGGGCGCACTTCAGCGTGCCACACGGGCTACATATTATAGTTGCTCATTTTGCTGCCATTGATGTCTAGTGCTTAATGCTGTGTGTGTTGTTGCATAGGCGAGCAGCGGGCTACCTCCAGTAACGAAGGACCCTGGTATTAAAACAACCCACCGAACCACATCCTAATTAATGTACCTGATTATTGTGAATAAATTACGTTCATTGTTGTTTGAGATTACCGACAAACTGCTTCCGGTGTTTATGTTTACAGGTTTATTGTGCAATTAAGTAATACAGATAAATAATCAACACTCATTCATAATCGGGCGGTAGATTTCCACCTTAACGGACCTGCACCCTTAGCCTTGAAGGTCGCTCTGAGTGATCTCTCATCTAGGGAAGAGCTGGGTTTGGGAAGACTGTCTTCACCGCGCTAGGAGTCAGACGTATCCTAACAAACTTAGGTTGGCGGGGGGGGGGGGGGGGGGGTTCCCGCCACACTATCTATTAACCATATTCACTTTTTCATTTAGCTCGGAAAACAGGCACAAGTATAGTAAATAACAAAGAAAATTACCTTCATGTTGTTTTAAGAAATACGATTGTTAGAAAATTGCATATTTGCACTTAATACTGTTTTTAGTAACTGTACATTTTGTAATCTGAATATGGTATTAGAAAATGTATAGAACGGCAATTTGGTTTAAAACGTGCCTCGATGGTTCGTGCTGGTCCCACATATATTAGTCCCCTATTAAATACCAAATTTGTTAACTCATACTTTTGTAACCAACAATGTAAGTTTTAGAACAAAATAGCTACAAAGCCACATTTCTTCCAATTTTGAAGCTTCAAATCAAACCTAATCTTAAAGTAGACATATTAAGCCTGCTCATGATGTATGATGTAGGTATGTGTAGGGTGGGGCATTTTAGTCAACCCAAATTTTGATTCCGCCGCTCGCCTATTAACACCTGACTGTATCTTCTCTGTTTTTACAAAGCGATTTGACTGGCAACAGCATTGACAAGCCTTTCGAAATTCCAGAGTCTGTGATGATGTTGTAAGTATTAAATAAATTACAACATTCAACTGCCTCTTGTCTTGGTAAATCACAAATATTTGTGTCTATCGAAATAGTTGCATCATCTGGTTATTTGCTAGGATAGCCAATTTCAAAATTGCGTTCTCTTCTGTGATGACAATTGAACAATTGGACTATTTTCATGTCTGGCTTGCTCGTAGACACGCTCGTGGAAATCAACTGCAAGACATCGACTTGGTCATGAAAAATGGAGTCCAGCTAAAAACAGTGTGAGTCAATATTAATTGCTAGCTTTTCGTTGATTGTTATATTCAAATAACAGAAATTTCACTCATATTATAGTCTATGTGAGTGAATCAGTCATGCTTTTCGACTTTTAAAACATCCACATGCTTTAAGAGAATCAGTTTTCAAAGTGATCCCGTGAGGCACCTGCCGCGTTAAACTGGGAAATTATAAACTACTTTGACTCTACGGATTAAATCACCGTAACTGTGATTTTTGGCCTCCATAAATTATTGTCAATAGTTTAAAAATATTTGGACTTGAATTTCCTTGTTTTGTAATGTTGTAAAAACGTACATGTGCACACGCAGGATTGTGTTGCATTAGTTTAAGCTGTTCGGCCATAGCATACATGGTGCTGACGCAGGGGATTTTGTCTTCGCTGTATCGCCAATATGATTACCGCAAAGGAATTAACGTATATTTCATCATCGGTTTCTGTTCCAGGGATTTCGAAGACAACAGAATGACGGCTATTGGTAGAGACACCTTTGCAAGATGTACAAAGTTGACAAATGTGTAAGTTCGCAAATTTAAGATCGTAATTTAAGGTCTATAATACGAACCTCGTCCCGTTTTGCTTTGTTTTAAACCTCGACGCTAATAGTAACCCATGTGTGGGACATTTACATCCTGTAGGCCTATCCCAATTAGACATGGCATGGTATTCTTATCGTGTACTTCGTGATTTGTTTCCAACGTGTTTTTATGACCTGCTCACATTAAGGAGCACCCTAATAAAACAAACAGAATATCTCAAAAGGATAGCTAAAGTTCTTGGTTCAACAGACCATTCCACAATGAAAACGAGAAATAAGAACGAAAACAATGGTTATTGGGCTATGCCTCACTCAAAAGTGAAGAGAGACATGCCTATTAGCATCACAATGCAGTCACATTTCACCCAAACTGATTGTTAACTTTAGTGTACTTAACATTTAGTCTGCATTTGAAGGACTGCTTGCCCTTGTAATGTATGTCTGAAAGAACTGATGACGGTAGACTGTTCCATAATCTTCACTGCTGCAGGAAGTTAAGTAGCATAGATTGCCTGGTTTGTCGAGCAGCAGGTAGCCTGAAAGGTGGTACCGTGGATTTCAGCAAGGTTGGGCACTTGCTGCACTGTATTCTATATTTATAAACAGAAGACTGCTGCAACATTTCATCGATGGGGTAAACTGCTAAGATTATGCCTCGATTGCTCTTGATTGCTTAACCATATTAGGCGGCAGGCTCTCCTTTGGATTTTTTAAGAGTCGAAAGATGGACAGTGCTAGGCTCCCATCCAAGCAGTGCGAGTGATATTCTTCAGATGTGTCTTCCATTCCAGTTTGCGAGAGAATGTAACTCAAAAGGTTTCATCTCCGGCCCATTACCGACAACCTGGCCTTGGAAAATTATAGGCGGATGATTTTGCATGTCCTTCATGCTGAACACAAAGATTCTGTGCCTCCCAAACTCAGCTCTAACAGGTTTAACCAACTGTCGTTTAATTCTGACACCAAGCGTGCTTTAAGACGCAATATTAGGGCCTACAGGAAAACTCGTTGCACCAACAGAGACAAGGACTCTGCCCGCTTGCGACGGCTAAAGAGAGACGCCCATAAGATTTGTCGTAACGCGCACAACAAATACATCTACGACATTGTGCACAGTGAACCAGTAAGCGCAAGGAACAAGAAGCTGGGTGCTCTTATAAAGTCCATGAACGAGGGTGGATTCCTTAAAGCGGATTCATAGACAAACGCTGACATCTTAAACCGGCAATTCTCATCCGTTTTGTCCAAATATGATGGCTCCACACTTCCTGATTTAGGTTCCAGGAACTCTCCCGCCATGGAGTCCATCGCTGTGAGCCAGAGTGGTGTTACCAAACAACTTCGGAACGACAAGCCATTACTGCATCTAGCCCTGATGGCATTCAAACTAAACTTCTGAAGGAACTAGTTAAAGAAATCGCTCCTGCAGTCACACTCATATTTCAAGCCTCTATCAATCAAGGGTACTTTCGCAATGGAAGAAAGCTCACATCGTCCCTATCTTTAAGAAGGGTAGCAGGTCAGACGCAGCAAACTACCGCCCAAACTCTCTCACATCGGTTTCATGCAAGCTCTGCGAGCACATTGTTTTCTGTGGCAGTGATCCGTCATCTCAATGACTGCAATATCTTCTCAAACACACATCACTAGTTTCGCTAAAGTACAGCACGTGACACCGATTGGATGACAAATCACAAATTGATGTGATCCTACTTGACTACTTCATAAAGTCTCGCACCGCCACTTCCTGATGAAAGTTGAGCACTATAGAAAACGAGACATCACCTTAGATTCGACCCAGGATTTTATCCATATACAATCCCAATTTGTCCGAGGTGACGGTCAGAAGAGCACCGAATCCCGGGTAACATCGGGAGTACCACAGGGTAATGTCCTAGGCCCCTTGTTGGTGCTAATTTTCACTAATGACCTACCTGCTTGCGTCCCAACTTCCACAACAAAGCTGTCTGCTGAAGACGCAGCCAGCCTTTAAAAAGATCATGATGCTCTCTAAGATAGGGAATCTAAGTGGCCGATGAGGTTTAACGTTAAGAAATTCCAGGTCCTTCGAATCACTAACAAACGTAAAGCCATCCTTGCATCATACACCATTCATGGACGCACTTAAGAAGTAACCTATTTTGCGAAGTACCTTGGAGTTGATCTCGACTCTCATCTCACCTCAACACCCATGTGGACACTCTCAGTAGGAAATCCAACTCCACAATGTTTTTTTTTATCTCGCAACCTCAGACATTGAAGTTGAAATGTGAAGGAAGCTGTCTACATGAAGCACCACCTGAGTCAGACATACAGTGGAATATACTTGCTCTACATGGGACACCCACACACAGCGAAACACGCTATGCTAAAGGATCTGAACCGGCCATCTGTACAGGACTGACGTAGTACTCACAGTTGCTTGGTCATGATGTACGAAATCAACTACAATTTAGTCGACAATGTTGACAACCAGTCTCACCCAACATACTATACCAGCCAGAGACCACGAATCCCGATTCGTCATCCCACACACCAAGTACTGCCTCTTCCCACGCACAATCCGGGACAGTAACAGCCTTGTGGTAGATCCAGTGGAGTACAAATCCCTCGACGCCTTCAAGCTGGCACTAAGGGATCATCCACTAAAAAAAGTCAGCACAACCAGCTTTTTACTTGCAGATCTGTACATGTACATATTAGTTATACATACAATTGCTCAGACCCATGCGCAACATATCGTACATTTATCCTCGAAGACTCTGTGGAAGAATAAAAATACGGGTACCTTTCTGCAAGTAGGTGTTTGAGCACACTAGTATGAGTCATTAAAGGAAATACTCGAGTACAAATACGACCACGAGTACAATAATGTGCTATGGGGGAGGCAATCACATTAGCATGTGAGTTATATTTGTATAATGTGTTCCTTGTATGATATTCTAGCCTGGCATAACTGTATATTCTTACCCCCAACAAACAAGCGTTCTCCAGGAGATAGTACAGGCGCCCGTGACATCGTCACTCGTACTGGTCTCTTTTTGGTGCCGGCATCTGAGGCGCAACGCGTCCGGGTAGCCAAGCGCTACTTGACTAAAGTATATGATTCTACTGGCGCCTGGTCCGTATATTGTTGATATTAATTGTGGAGCAAGAACCAGACTACCTGCCAGAAGGAAATAGTTGTCAGGCAGCCAATAAGTCGAAATTGTAAAGGAATAATTCAATTACAAACTGTCGATGTTTCATCAAAAATAACATGATAACTAGAAGATGACCAAAAAAGAAAAAATCGCAAGTAGAGCGCATATTTAAGACACAAACTTTCTTGCAGGAATTTAAGAGGGAATGACGTGACTAGTATTGAAGCGGATGCATTCAAGAGTTGCACCAAACTTCGATATTTGTGAGTATTAGCGAATATATATTTGTTAACAAGATATCGTTACAAAATCAGTACATAGATATTTTACCATTAATTGACCACTTTTGTGCAGCTTGGGACGTGCTTTGTTAATTCCTGGTTTAGATTAATGTCAAGGCCACCTTTGGAGACATTTAAAACAAAAGACAACATTCAGAACAGATACATTTAGCAATGTTGGTACTTAAGAGGAACTGACGGGGGCATTCGTATTGCGGTGTGAGAGGTGAAAATTCTTGGATCGCTGCAAGACGACAGACTACAAAAGCATTTTCCAAGAAAGTTGTCATTAATCAATGCGTGATTTTTGACAGAAAACTATCTATTTCTAGACAAAATGAATCTCCCAAAATTGATGTTGGTGGAGTTTCACAATTTGCTGCAGATCCTGTCCTGGGGATGGTTATAATTATAGGTGAAGCCGATGTGAATAGGCCGAATGTCTGGGCGAATGAGAGCCTTCTCCTACAACCCTCCCTTAATCACTCGAAACCACGGCCTATTGCATTCATGACTGGGTCCAAAAAGATTGATGATATAAAATTGCCAAATCTGCAAAAGAAAAATTATGGAATGTTTTGGTTTAATCAGATTACTGGATAAAAACAAGATATCAACCATATCAGCCAAGGAATTGACTGCCCCGAAGGACATGGACACATTGTAAGTTTCTTTTTATTCCTTAACTGTCACTTTGTGCAAGCAGTAATAAGTAAAAAAAACTGAAACAAATCATGATGATACAGGAATGAATTTTAATGATTGAGGGGGTTGGCTTTGCATTTACGGTAGTATTTGCATGACCTATGACCGTTGGAAATTGTGTAAATTTAAACTGAATTAACATTTTGTTTCGCGTTTCTTTAATCTACCAGGGGTCTTGCCGAAAATAAGTTGAAGGAGCTCGGCCCAGATACCTTCAAAGGACTGCAGATCCGAGAAGTGTAAGAAACACTATAGGCACGGTGGAATATGGGCTCAGTGCGTGGAAAGGGAGAGCAGCGCCTTAACTAAACACAGCAATCTGATATTTTTAAATCTGATCGTCTTATGATGATGTCAGTTATGTATACCTTTGGGAAATTCCGTGACCTACATTTTTGTACCCTGTTTACTGCACAATACTGTTAATCGTTCCAGATTGTCAACGGTTAATGAAAAACGGTGCAAAAACACATGCCCGTACTTCATTGGCCCTTATAAGGTCTTCAGTGTCGAAACACAGAGCGGATGATTCAATTTCACGCGCTCCCATGTTTACAACCACTATGTGATCGATATTTCATGCAGTTCGTTTCGGGCAGTCACGCAAGAATTTGCACTCGACTCGCGCTCTCTTTAAATTTGCAACGTTTGCAACTGCATTATTGTCAATATAAGACATTCTTACTAGGAATGTTGTGGACTTTTGAAGCAACCGCCGCTTAAGTCCTTATCCGTTGCATTACCTGTTCTCCTCCCCTTGTCTGATGACATCATGAATTTGAAACCCTGCCAAGTTCTTAGGAATCTGCGGACGTTTGAAGCAATTCACCGCTTGAGTCCTTATTCGTTACTTTACCTGGTGTTCTCCCCTAATATCTACATGCTTATGTACACTGATAAGCATTGCTAAATCTCAAGGTGTTACTCTTTTTACCTACAGGATATTTCATAACCTTTAAACTCTCTTCATCAATGAAAACCCCGCTCGAATTTTTTACCCGTTGTCTCAAACTTCACGTGTTAATTTACCGTTGCCGCGCGCGCGTTTACGCTGACCCAACGTAAGGGGAACCCTTCTTCCCCATGGCCCAATTGAATGATGTCGTCGTGTGTCATTAGTGACTTTACATCACAATACCTAGTGTCCGGTCCTGCCCTATAGGCTAAACGATCTTGGGTACTATTCACACGTTTTTGCATTACAGGTGGATGGACGACAACGATGTGCAAGTGTTAAAGGCACACACTTTCGGCGGAGTCATCTCCTCCATGTGAGTATACATGTAGGTCGCGGTGAGTACTCAATAATAAGAATGGTCTTCAAAGAATGATGCTCGTTTCTTTGTAATGCAGATGTCTACCAAAGGTGATTTGCTCAAACATTCCAACTGGTACATGCCATGTTACTGTAGAATGATATTTCGAGAATAAAGTACACATAATATATTATACTTTCAATTAAGAAGGCATAAGAACTTTATTATTGTTTAGAACAAATACCAGAGATAACCCTGACGATTTGTATATTATACGCACACATTTTGCATTTAAAGTGTTTTGAATAAAGAGTATAATATACAAACATGCATACCCTTTCCATTAATTATAAACGACATTATCCATTTCCACGTTGAATATCATTCTCAGTAAAAGAAAAAAATAATACTGAAACTCTGATCTCAATTTTTAATATTTGACAGAGTTTTGGATAACAATAGAATTCTCGAGATTCCAGCTAGTTTATTTGTGGATCCCTCGAACAAACAACACAGGAAAGAAATCGAGAGATTGTGAGTATAATTGTACAAATACCATGGCCTTTAAGTTACGGTCATCTTAAAAACAAATTTTGCCAATAAAAAAGTTTTCTTAGCCTTCAGGGCAGGGTATCACAGCAGGTGAAAAGACGGCGGTAATAAACCTCTTTTATTAAACCAGTTTGCCGTATCCGATTTATGTTAAATTGTTTAAATACTGTAACTCTTTTGTTTCTTCAGTTATTGTCAAGAAAACAGGGTTAACCGAGTCGCCATTGGAGCTTTTCAAGGTGTTAATAGGTTCAACAAATTGTAAGTAAACTTCAACGTCAAATAAATAATAAAATGTGCTTCGACAGACTTTATATACGAAACGCATTGGGCATTTGGGATTCATTTTCTGTTCAATATCAGACAAATTCATAAATGCACTATTAGTTGCTTTTAAACTCTTCATTTTACACATCTGTCACACTGTATTAGGTTAATGCGGAACAATCGCCTAACGACTCTACCAGAGGGTTTGTTTGACACGAAGACTGAAATCGGGCAGTTGTAAGTGTACAACGTGTCCCAATAAACATTGTGCATGAAGAAGTCGCTGATTTGCTCAAAAGATGTTCATACTAGCTAATGAAATTTTATAGTATTTTCAAGTCTATGGATTTGTTTGTAATTGGTAAAAAAAATTCAAGAAAAGTCATATTATTTTCCACTCGCACAATTAGAAGTCTTCGGCTGAACTTAGGCTAATACATTAATATTAGGCATTCCAAGTGGTATTAGATTTGATTGCAAAATTCTATGTCACAAAATGCTACCTGTAAACACCCTTATCCAAATGCTTCATAAAGGCCAGGCAATATTCCAAGCACTCACAAGACATACCAATAACCCAATAATTGGCGGAAGTGCATAAATTACATTGTGCAGGTCGCAAATTACGTAGCCTTACCAAATCAAAGATACACTCTAAAAACAACTTAGTCAAAATATTGACTAGTTTTCCCAGTTATTGGAAATTGAATAGGAATTTAGTTAAACATGCAAAGTTCAATACTATGACTAGAAACGTAGTTGGGTTCGACTCCAATTTCAGTTATTTGCATAACTACTTTTCCAAAGTCAATAATACTGACTGGACAAATCTAGTCAGATTGACTGATTTTCAGTTGCACCCAGCTGACCCTCAATGGCTAGTCAAATTTGACTGGTTTCTAGTCAAATCTGACTAATGCTTTTTTAGAGTGTACAGTTGGTTAACATTGTTGAATTTTCTTGATGTTTTTGAGCAATTATAAACAAACCATGGGCTTGAAAATGCTAAAACAATTGATAAGCTACTTTGAACAGTTTTTTTGGAAATCAGCGATTTTTCTTCATGCACAATGTTGATTTGGACACGCTGTACTTCTTCGTATTCATGTTTGAATATGTTTTAATGTCGCTTCATCGATAGTACAAAACTATAGGCAAGATGTTATTTTTATTAATGAAGGTCCTTTCCAAAAAAGCTATTCATTACTCTAACGTGAAATAATAGTCTCCGTTGACTGCATGACCTGAATACATGTATGTTAAAACAAAATTCTTCAATCGAGATTCTTTATTATAACAGATTAGACACAAGTACATGTTTAATAACGCTTCTTTTAATAAAAGGATTCTCACCAAAAATATAATGAGGTTTTCATATGTATTCGTTTCTATACCATACAGGTTGATAGCCGATAACCACCTAGATTTTCTACCAGAGAATATTCTAGTCAACACAACATTAACCGAAGTTCTGTAAGAGTTTTGACACACTATATTTTATGGTCTCAATCGCCACACTTATACATAAGTCAATCTTTTAGTAACAACGTTGAGTGTTTTTTTTCCCGACACAATGCGCCAAAACAAAACCATTCCCTTGAAGCAAAAACTGGAGGTTGCTAACTGTTTTTCGGGTTAGTACATGTATGTAACAGTCTAAATACGCGACCCAATGTAATATTTGGTAGGAAAATGGTCGTATGCACAGCGTGCCTAGATTCCAGCAGTCCTCAGCTAATCCTTGGAGGTTTTTTTTTCCAAGAGGGACAACTATCAAGTTAGTCCATCGCAATTCTCAACCAAACCAACCCCGTATAAAGAAATGAGCTCTGAAGAAAACAAGTGCTCCTTATAACCTCTGTATAACCTACAATGCTGACTCGCAAACACTTGAAGTGTGGTATAAATTATGCATGGTTTGACGTTCCTTTTTTCTCTCAATATGTTCATATTTTGAAGTGATATTGGCTTCAATCGTCTCACATCCATCCCCGATGGCTTATTTCGCAACCAGACCAAGCTACGGACACTTTTCATGCAACGCAATAACATCAGTGTCATTACCAGAGGAATGTTTAAGGATCTTCACTCTCTGGAAGTACTGTGAGTCATCAATTTTTATTGTTTTTTTTTTTGCTTACCGCTTATTAAAAAAAAATCTAGGTTTAAATCAGTGTTTACTTATCCAGGTATTTGCTGTTCCCAAGTTGCAGTCACAAGGCCATGCATTTGCAATCATTTGTCAATCGTGCCGGAATAATATTTTTTGGGTACTTTTCTCTACCGGGATGTCGCGCTTCACACGGCACCCGCTAGCTGGCTAGAGTCATTAACTTCGACCTCAATTTGCATGTTGACCACCGGTTGCCGTGGTAAACCTTGGAATGTTTTTATATATATATTTGGAATGTTTTGGAATGTTTTTATATATATATATAGGCCTAATGTTGTATCTTTTAACTATTCAAAGTCTGATGAAAGAAGGAAATCTGCTAAAAAAGCAAAACAAAACAAATATATAATGTTAATCATGAACCTACCGTGATATTAGAGGACTGTGAATTCGTATCATACATGCGAAGATAGCCAACAACTTCACAAATAATTGAGTGTGCAAAGATGGTCAATAAGGCCGGTCCTGGCGCAGAATGACTGATTGCAGTATAGGCAGGTGTTGGTTGGGGGCTAACTAGGCGGAATGGAGGAACTTCATCTGTTCTTACTGAGCTGAAGTTTCTGTTCGGCTTCACAGATGCGACCTTTCTCATACTTGTTTACGCCGTGCATGACTTAGTAATAGGCCAGTTGGAGCGGTGCTGAGAAATAATCTCCCACGTCTCTAGATCTATGCTGCAACCTTTGACGGAGGCATTAAGGGTGCCTTAATTTGTAACATTTCCCGTGCCACCTTGAGTCTGCGCAGATTAAACAACTTGCTCTCAGAGCAGTATTGCAGATAGACCCCTATATCCCCGCAACAAAAGGTATCTATCAGCATATCCGAGAACATCATGTTAATGGGTAGGTCCCAGGACGCAGCCTTGCTTCACTCCGTTGGCCACTCGAAAGGGCTCAGAGAATGCGCCGTTGTCTTGGACACGAGCTTGCATGCCATCGTGGATTTCACAGACCATGTTAATGAACATGTCGGGGCAGCCAAAGTTGGACATAATCTTCCACAGGCCCTCTCGGCTTCAGTGGCGTAGCCAGGAATTTGTCAGTGTGTGTGGGGGTGGGGGGGGGGGGGGGGGGGGGGGGGGGGGCTGGAACATTTCATGGGGGCGTCATGTAGATCAACGATAATTGTTTTTAAAAACTCAAAATCTCAGTGGGGGAGGGGCGACTGGGCGGCGACAAACATCAGACAGACAGACATACATCAAACAAACAGACAGCGTAAAATTTGTTGATTTAAGATATATGTGTCGATCATGCCAGAACCTAAAGGGAACAAATTGCCTGGCCGTTGCAAATCCCTTTGGCGAAAACCAAGTTTTGTTTCGCTAAACAATGGTATGCCCTCGTGTAGTAATAAGGCGTATTCAAAATGATTTCCAGTGTCTTGATTTTGTTTCATAGATCCGTATTTGGCAATCCTCTCATTGAGATACAAGCCTGGCTTTTCTTTAACACGCAGCTCACAAATTTGTAAGTACATGCATATCATCTACAATCAATTGTTTATTAAGTGATGTTATAGAGGTTGTATATTTATTTCACATTAACATGTGCCAGGTGCACGATCCGTCATGTTTGCCGCCCATAGCGTGCTTGATCGGCTGTGCAGTACCTGTTTACATGTCTGCATGTATTTACATGTCTGCAACCGTAGAGGTGTAATATGGCGGAAGCGTGGGTAACTACTCAACTCGTTCGTCACATTAAGAACTACTTTAACCAAAACAACATCGATAAACCAAGCTCCGATCTATGAATCTTTAACCAATCACAGCAACGTTTTATGTCCAGCATTGCGTGCACTTACATGACGCGCGTGTGTGGCGTGAATTTAGGTTTCAATGATATACGGACCCATTGGAAGTATTAAACAAGTCCTATTTCTTTAAGTCGGATTTTCTTTCGCCACCGGCTGAAACTTGCAGTGTTGTATGGCATTTTTAATTGGCACTTGTGTGACGCAAGTACGTTGTGCGCGGGGCCTTTTGGTTCTGCCAATTCACACACTGTTATGCTTCAGAAGCATTTTGTCGTATGATACAAGACCAAATGTTAAATTATTTCCATTTTGTTTACTTCTAAGTGATTCATACCTCAGAGGCAAAGCCAAAGCCAAAGCCGAAGACGAAATCAACTGTTTCGGAAACCCCATTAATGATAACAACTTGGGTTATTGCTTGTAAACTTAATATGGTACAAAAAAATATCCTTCATTTTCAATTTTTTTGTTAGATACATGTTCCAAAACAACTTTTCTTCGATCGGAGAGAGACCATTTGTCACCGTCAATAACACAATCAAACAGGTGTAAGTACATCAATCATGCAATTTTCTAATTTGTTTGCTTCTCCGAAAGGAGTCAAGTATTGTATACCATCATTTTTGTCATAGCATACATTTTTGGGTTTCATATGCATACCTTGGCCCTTCGGGAACAAGATTCCCATATCACTTTAAAGCCCAGATTTGTATGTTCGCATTTGCCGGTCCCAATCACGTAAATGTATCGGTTTGATGTTACATTGTTGGTTTCGCCAATTTGCCATGTTTTGATGAAGCACTTATGGTTAAGCATTGATTGATTCTTACTTTTCCGATTTTTTCCAGATCGTTGTATGGCAGTCATTTGACAACTATTTCCGATGTCGTATGGCAAGATTTGGGCACCAACTCCTATGTGTAAGTTACAGTTTGCGTTTCCAGGTTTCCGTGTTCAAGTTTAACCTTCATTTGAACTACTGCGCTGCCAAAATCGTAACTATTGTTAATGTTTCTTCATGTTTACCTGTGTTTTTTAATTGGAACAAATCTTAGCTAAACAATAAGGATTGACCTCATAAACCCTTCACGTATTTTGTATAACACCTATTTTGTATAACAATTATTGGTGTTGTTTCGACCACATTACCATAACATTATGTTCCTTTATTCTCAGGGCTGTTGATAGCACCCTCCAGTTTGCGCCTGTCACATGCCGGACTGACCTAGAAATGTAAGGATCGACTGTCATGACGTAATTATTACATGAAAATTACTAGATATTTTGTTTCCTTTCTCTATGTTTCAAAGGGCTCATACGTTAGTTTGAGAACGTAAAAAATATCAGGACCATCATTTCAGTGAAGTTCTGCATGTAGCACTTTCAAAAAATCTAGGATATGAAAACCAAATTCGTGAGTTTTCTTTCAGTACCAGAATCAATCAAATCACATTCATCCCATACACATTCACATACATCCCTATGTGATTTATGTTCGTTTTGCTGGAAGAACACTTGCCTTGTTTGTGATCCGTGGACAGAACTTTATTTAAAACAGTGTTTGTGTTTAAACTTCCGTATCTTGAAAAGTACATGAGTGATTTCAATTATTGTTGTACACAAAACTTATGAATTGGGCTTTAATATCCTAGATTTGGAAAGTGCTTCACGCAGAACTTCACTTAAAAAAATGGGCTCTGTTTTGTTTTACTTACCCGGTATTTTTTTATGCAATCCTTAGGTATGCACCTGTAACAAATTTAACCTTATTTTAAAGTGAGTGTGGCCTAGTGGTGAGGTTCGTGACTTATGATCTGAAGGTTAGGGATTCGAATGCAGCTGCTGGTCATATTATGTTGTGTCCACTTTACCACCACTTGCCTCTCTGCACCCAGAAGTACAAGTGGGTACCGGCAAAAGCTGGGGTAACCTGCGATGGATTAGCATCCCATCCGGGGGATAGACATATTCTCAGTCGTTTCATTCTACTAAAACCGGTGATAAACGCCGGCCAGGGGGCCAGATTGGCAAGTGACAGACTATACTTCTTAAATACTTGGTTCACAACTTGAACTGAAACCCCTTAACTGAACAGTGACTTCCCAATACGACATGAAAGCAACATCACCATAACTTGTACAAGGTAAATCAAACCGAACAAACATTCGTTTAAAGAAGCGCACTTTTCAAAAGCATTAACAAAAAAAGGATGTCAATGGTTTACAAACATTCAGGAGTAGAAAATTACATAAAATGTGTTCCTAAGGTAAGTTCACCGTATGGACCCTATAGACATGGCCTATCTTGCATTGGCACAGGGTATTGTAAAATGACACATCGACCTTGGGTTAACTTTTGTTCTTTCCAATTACAGTAAACAGGTTGGTGATGGGTTTGCCCTACCGATACTTGTTCAAAACTCTTCAATAAGTCTGGATTCTCCTGTTCAAGACCTGACTTCAAAGTTGATTCGTGGCGATGTAAGCCCTGTGCCCAAGGACATTATGGAGATGCTCCAAGCCATGCCTGTAAAGCATGCCCAGCTGGTACGTATGATGTGCAGTCGTTATGTCTTAAAGGCAGAGTTGTTATTACTCGTTTCAATGACTCGACTCAAGTCCGACTCAAGTCACCATTTTCGGTGACTCGAATTAACTCGAGTCCCTAAGGGTAAATAAATCGACTCGACTCCAGTCCCCAAAATGAAAGCAAAACTTGCGAACAATATTTGCAATGTCTTACGCCGGTCCGGGTTTTGTTCACGTCCCATTAGAAGGTTCGCAGACTAATGTGTACTTATACATACGCGGTTTGATCAGTGTCCCCGTTAGTTATATTATGGCGATCAGCTGGCACCCCCTTTTTTTATTAAGAGTCAAATGTGGTGTCACCACACGTAGAAGACCGAATGTAAAATTACAAAAGCCAAAAAGTGCTTTTCTCTCTCGTTTTATTTATTGTATAGGGTTCAAATAATTGTGACTTGATTTGACTCGAGCTAATACTTGACTTGACTTAACTCAACACTGTGACTCGACTCGACTCGACCTTCTTGACCTATGACTCGACTCGACTGTAGTAACGTCTTTAAAATGACTCGACTTGAGTCAAAGAAGTCAGTGACTCGTCACAACTCTGCTTAAAGGATATAGTGTTCTTGAAGGAAATAGGGGAAAAAATCACCGTCTCTTTAAATGTTCATGCCATTGCGCACGTTTTTTGCTTGCAGCTATTTTAGGTGCACTTGCTGTTTGTTCCACCCTTGGGTATGTGACAAGCATGTCAGAATATACCTAACGGTCTAAAAAGTTTCCTAATTATAGGGATGCACGGATTAAATTGTGAAGCGGTGTCTACCCACAAATTGAAGCACCACAACTATTCGCACTGTAAAAAAATCACTGCACTTCATGCACTTGTGGACTAGCGGATGTTTGTCCCAGAATCATGAACACCTGAGACACTTATATCATGCACCTTAGGTGCCATGTGACCCATAAGCACACATACTAGCACATACTGACTAGCACGTCTTTGTCCCAGAATCATAAACACTTGAGGTACTATTAGCACATGTTTACTAGCACATACTGACTATAACGTCTTTGTCACAGAATCATGAACAAGTGAGGTACTAATAGCACATGTTTACCAACACATTCTGACTAGCACATCTTTGTCCCAGAATTATGAACACTTGAGGTTCTATCATCATTATGTTTACTAGCATATGCTGACTAGCACGTCTTTGTCCCAGAATTATGAACACCTGAGGCACGACTCTATGCACCTCAGGTGCTAGTTGACTCGACTAGCACATACTGGCTAGCACATGAAATCACGAATACTTGAGGCACTTCCATCACTTCACGTACATGGGCGTCGCGAGGGGGGGGGGGGGGCAAGGGGGGCACTTGCCCCCCCCCCCCCCTGGAAAAGCAACCCCCCCCCAAAAAAAAAGGAAGGAAAAAAAAAAACAAGAGGCACGAAGACAAAGTGGTATAAATTATATGAGTTGGGGGGGGGGGGCAAAATGTCCCTGCCCCCCTCTAAAACTGATAAATCGAGAATGTGTTGAGAAATACAAGCATTTTTTGGCAACAAAATTGTTTGCCCCCTCTAGAAAAAAATCCTGGCGACGCCCATGTTCACGTACATTATGCGCTGACGCAGTGACTGGTACCCGAGGAGACAGTTTGAAGAAAAATCAAGCGCCCGGGCTTGCGACGTGCACGGAACACTTTTTCAAACACATATTTTAAAAAACGGTTTTAGAACAGAAAATTCTCTTTCCTAACAAATAAGAAAATCATCATCAAATTTCAGATTTTGTTATAAAATGAAGAAATAATGTGTGACATTATGTTACATTTAAGTAATATTTCCGACAGTCATTATTCACATAATCGCATAAACTTTAAAAAGGAATTACGCCAAATTTAAAAGACCAGAACTGCACCTGGCGTAAAACATCTTAATTGACAATTATTAAATCCCTCCATAAAAATGAATTGAGGGTATCCTCTGACTACAAACGAAACTCCTCCCACTACGAAACAAAACCCATCAAATTGCCAGGAATCCCCCCCCCCCCACTAACAAGGGGCAAAGTTTCAAGGTTTAAGCCATATGTTAATTAGTGATTTGTTTTTAAACTACTGTACCTCTTCATTCATTGCCAGGTGTAGTTCAGGAATGTATAACCCCAGAGGGGTTAAGTTGACCTTTTCATAAAAAGCAAACTTGTACATGTATGCTTTATATATCATTTTTAAAATATCCTGAAAACAAAATATTGCTCTTATCCCGTAAACTTTGTTTTGTAAAAAAAAAATCAGAATGACAATAAAACGTTTAGGCCCCCTACAAGAAAACAAACAAACAAATGTTTCCAGTTACTGGTTTGGACTAGGGTAAAAAGAGGAATGTTGATTATTATGGTTTTTTTTTAAATGTTCCATATTACACATCATAATGAGCGAGTTATGATATTCAGCTATTCCAAACCAAACCGTATCACCATGTTAGAAAACACAAAGATTAAAGGGACATATGCATATTGTTAAACAAATTGAATGGTACACAATATTCTAGGTCTAAACAAAGTTTCATCCTGAAGGACATTCATTGCCAAAATGCTGAAAAAAAAACATGAATGAGCCACTCAGAAACATTGCCAATTTTGTTCATGATAGAAAATACTCTGAAAATCTTCATGACTTTCCATAGACCTTGTCCAAACCGTCAAATTAGCGTCTGATAGGCCTAAACATTTTTTTTATAGACCCGCTAACTGGGGTGGCTATTTTTGTCGAAATGTGGATTTAGTCTGTCGTCATGGGCGTCGCCAGGATTTTTTTCTAGAGGGGGGCAAAACATATGTTTCCCCCAAAATTCTTGTATTTCTCAACAAATTCTCGATTTATCAGTTTAAGAGGGGGGCAGGGACATTTTACCCCCCCCCAAAAAAAAAAAAAAATTACACCACTTTGACTTCGCGCCTCTTTTTCTTTTCTTTTTTCCTTTTTTTTTTTATTTTATTTGCTTTTCCGGGGGGGGGCAACCCCTTGCCCCCCCCCTCCCTCACGACGCCCATATCTGTCGTACAACCTAACCAACAACCCCTCCAAACTTAGGCCTTGTTTTGCAATATTTGCAGACCTTTCACCTGAAAAATTACCAAAAAAGCTCAAAACACTTCACAAAAATACCTTTCAAAGCGCCTACTGGCTTCTCCACATGTCAAAAACAAAGCAATGGGGCTAAAGTGATCCTCACGATCATTGTTTTGGGTTGCTAATTCTCGATATTCAACAAGTCGACAAAGACAAGTGTGTGCAGAATGATTTCCGCGTTCAAATAATAACTGTCAACGTACGCCGCTGCATGGTCGAATGCTATGGACGTACATATGAACATGTATGCGAAGACTAGGGACACGACTATGACCTATGCATGAACCTGTTGCAACACGTTGCCGTTGGGACAGTCGTTTAGCGAAGTGTACATGCACACAAAGAGAGATGAAACAGTTTGAAATGTTTAATGCCCCCCCCCTTTCTTGTCAAAATTAATTGTTTTAGGCGTTCGACTAATTCAATCTCATCCACTTTAGTTGAGGTGCAAAGAGCACATCAAGTCTGTTAAAAGCAATTATACCTGAAGTGTGTTGGCATGCACTCGAAGTGCTATCTCTCAAATAGTTTACATTACTTAAAGTACTTCAGATGATTACAGTCCATCACTTGCGCTAATTATGCTATAACTGTGTACAATCACATGAGGCGCAAAATGGTCATAGCACATCAAGTAATTCGGGTACCAATAATCTATTACATGAAATTACCTGATGTGCAATAAGTGTGTTCAAGCACATAGAGTGCTCTCAAAAATCCAAAAAGGAACATTGTTACAATCACATGATTGAAGCGCTTTTTTCACACATTTATAGCACATCAAGTGAGTTTAAATGTCTTCAATCTGTTACATGAAATTACTCGAGGTTCAATATGTGTGTTCAGCACATGACATGCTAGCTGGTTCACATCTCTTCATGGACTTTAGATGATATCAGTCAATCACGAGCACGCAATTAAGGTGCCATGATTGTATACAATCACGTGAAGCGCTAAAATTGTATAGCACATCAAGCGATTCATCAGGTGGTTGTAATATGTTACTTGAAATCCATTGAGGTGCAATAAGTGTGTTCAAGCACATGAGGTGCTTTCTCTCAGGCAGTTTCCATCTCTTCATGTACTTCAGAGGATATCAGTCAATCACTTGCACTTAGCTGAGTTGCCATAAGTGTGTAAAATCAACTGAAGCGCTATATTTTTGCAGGTGTTTCAAGCACGTCAAGTGTTCTAGGTGCCAATAATCTGTTACATGAAATCACTTAAGGTGCAATAAGTGAATTCAAGCACGTGAAGTGCTATCTCTCAAACAGTTCGCTTCACTTAAAGACCTTCGGGTGCCTTTATTTTGTTACTTGCAAGAGCTTGAGGTGCGATAAGTGTTTCAAAGCACATAAAATACTAGCCTTTAATTATTCTTCATCACCTCAAATACCTCACCTGTCAATATGCTGTTGCTTTCACACTTCAAGTGCCACAAGCAGTATTGCTCAGGTGCATGCAAGTGCATGAAGTATGGTCATTTTGTTTTACAGTGCAGCATTTTGAGAAAAGAAAAGTTTTGCATGAGATTGTTCAAGTACATGGTTGAAAGCCATACTTGAAGTCGAAGACAAGGGTCGAATGTCAGTGAGGGGTTTTTGATGGTCACTTTTTTAATGCAGTTTACATGTATTATCCTTGAACTTTAGGAGGCTTTTACCAAATCAAGACTGGACAAGTAGCAGATACATCACAGCCCATCAAGTGTCAAAAATGCAACAATGGAACCTACGTCACCCCAGCTGCTCACCCTGGTATCAGCCCTGCAGATTGCACCGTGTGTCCTACAGGTACCAATAAAAGTCTTCATGCAGGGTTCCGCGCATGCTTTTGTCTCGATAAGTACTACCGGAAAGATCGGTTTGATGAGTGTTATCCTTGCCCAGACGAAGGTCTTGACATGTTCAGAGGAGTATCAACACCTCTTACCTGGATTCTGGTGGACTTGGGACTGGGGCTCAAACGACAACTACAAAGCATATCAACATTTCGTTGTAAACATCAGGAGCAGAAGTGATTCCTTCAATAGCAGCACGCAGCATTTTAGGGGAGTGGTGCCTAAGGTACATCCGTGTCCACGTAAGGAGTCTTGTTTGAATGAAGGTGATGGTATCAATGTCACTTGTGAGGTTGGTTATGAAGGTTGACTTTGCTCTGAATGCAGTGTGGGGTACTATGCGTGGTTTGATCGTTGTAATGTGTGCCCAAAGTGGTGGTGGTTCTTACTTGAAGTCGTTCTGTTGTTGGTCGTGTTGGCAGTGGTAATACTCGTCATCGCTTGGGATGTGCGGAGAAATCGGAGAAGAGGACGGTCAGCCATTGATGTGATCTTTGCTCGGGGGAAAATCTTGCTGGGTTTCTATCAGGTAATGGGTGAGATATTCTCTGCCCTTGACGAAATTCCCTGGCCAAATATTCTTAACAAGTTTGGGTCTTTTTTGAAACTACTGGAGATGAATATTGTCCAACTGGTCATCAGTCCCCGTTGCTACTTTCCAGACTTCACCTACCGCAATGTGTACATTGAGTATTTGTTTGGGATGAGCTTAGTTGCATTTGTTATGTTGGTTGCATTGTGTTTCTATTAAGTCTCGAAGTGCTACATGTACTTGGCGGCAAAGAAATACACCGATGAAGAACGTATCAAGGTTTCATCAACTACGAAGCAGAAATGTTACCTGTTTGTCGTTATGCTTCTCTTTGTGTCATATCCTGGCCTGTCCGGTGTTATCTTCACCCTCTTGCCTTCTGGCTGCGACCTGTTCTATCTTGATGAGAATGAAACATACAATTCTACAAGACTTCGATCAGATTACTTTATTGATTGTCAAGATGAGCAGCATGTTCATTTCAACCATGCTGCCGAGGCTTCTCTCTGTTACGTTGTTGGCTTTCCGTCCTTGCTGTTTGTATTTCTGTGGAGAAGCAACAGACAAGACAAGAGGAAAAATTCGCAGGAGCAGCCTCTGGTTGAATCGTCAGTAAATGATCCCAGTTACTACAGCGTCAATAATCCAACTATGTCGACAGTAAATGAAGATGATTCCACAATCAATCAACCACACATCAACCTCCTAAATCCCATACAGCAAAGTCAGGTGGATATCAGCTGGAAAAGTTTTCTCAGTGGAAACTACAAAGCAGAGTTCTGGTACTGGGAAGTTGTTGAGCTTTCTCGCAAAATCATCCAAACACTGTTTGTTCTGCTATACGGCCCAGATGACCACTTTACCATGTTTGCAACCATCGCCATATCTGTTGGGTTTTTGCTCCTACATGCATATGTGAGACCAACGAAAGACGCCACCGATAACCGTCTACAGATGTGTTCCCTGGCAACAATCTTCCTGAATCTCCTGGCAGCTTCCTTGCTCCTGTCTCGAACTGGAGGTAGCACAGGGAGAACCGAGGTCCTTGCGGCAATCCTGGTTCTGATGAACTTCAGCATAATTGTCTTCGTCATAGGTACGTAGTTGTTTAAAGAATTATCTTGATTGTTTTAGAATTCATTGGTGCATTTCATATGTGCTTGAGACTAAATTTGAAAGTAAAGGTTACCTTGATCACCTTACCAACTGTCATTTAATTGGTCACTGAGCACTATTGATTGAAAGCTAGGACGAGGCGGTTGGAATCAGTAACAATGTTACCTTTTGGATTTTTTGTTTTTACAGGAAGTCTCAGCTGGATGGTGATGAAGTCACTATGGCGCTCTGGGTGCTGTGGTAGTATGGCAACATGCATTGCTAAAGCCTGCTGCTGGTTCTGTCGACACGAGTCATTGGCGAGGGAAGGCAGAGGCACACGTCTTGTGATGACGAGCGTGAGAGATCTTTCCCTTGATGCTGATGAAGACTACTTGGAAAGGCCTTATGACGATATCATATCTGAACGTGATCATGTGGTTGAGTAAATTCCTACTTGTTCATGGGTTAAAATTAAAAGGCAAATCAGGTCAAATATGGTTCATTTGTATAGGTCACCTGGAATGCCATGCACACTTACAGTGGAGGTGGGCAGGGGGGGGGGGGGTGCCTGAAAAGATGCTGAACTTTTTGCAACAAATTTTCAAATGTGTTTCGTATAATTGTGGTACAGTTCAGCTGTCAAAATTTGCAATGAAGTGGGAGCTACAAAAGATGTGAATTAATTAATACTTGACGATTAAGGGATATTATCAAACATTTCCTTGAGATAATGATTGAAGTGTCAATAAATTTGGGTCATGGGCAGTTAATGGTCAAATGTGTATAAATATCACAAATTGTTAGCCTGGTTGCCTTGTGGGACAGAACAACATTGATGTAGCTTTGTCTGATACTAATCATATTTCTGTTATTGTCTCATGGATGGGACGGATTGCATTTAATAACTACAGCTTTTTGTATATTAGGTTATACTTTGCTTTGCATGAAATACTATATTTGAGGTCAAATATTTGGCAAGTGGTCTTTACAAGTTTGATGATCCGTTATTCAGATTATGTACGCATAGAGTATCGCAATGTGTTTTTAAGTTTACCTGTATTTGAACTACCCATTTTACCGAAATGGTAATTGTTGTAATGTTCCTACATGTGTACTTATTTTTTAATTATAACATATCTCAGCTAAACATTAAGAATATACCTCATAAGTCTTTCTTGTGCTTTAGTTTCGACCATAATACCATTACATTCTGTTCATTTATTCTCAGGGCTGTTGATAACACCCTAGAGTTTGTGCCTGTCACATGAAAATGTACGGATCGAATGTTACGACGTAATTATTATCCTATGGTTACTAGATTTGTTTACTTGCTCTATCTCTTAAAGAGCCCATAATGTTATGTATTTTTGTATGCAATCCTTAAATATGCACTTTTGAGTCACAATTAACCTTATGTTTCAATTTGTATTTTGACATGTTCAAGGGGGTTTTGTGCCTTTTTTGTGTCATGCGGACCAGGAGTCACTCGAGTCCGTTAATGTGGTAGTGCATTGTTTCTCTTTATTTGATGTCATTTATTACAAGTGTTTGACATTCACATTACCAACAAAAGCGTATTAAACTGTCGGGCATAGACGTCGTAATTCGCATAATTTCCCTAATGAAAATTTCCATAATCTTGATCAAGCTTGCAAGGTCCATTTCAGCATCAACAGTTACCTGAATTGTGTATATATTGCTGTCTTCAATATTCTTATTACGGTGACTGTAAGGCGATGAACATTCGTGTCTCACAAACCCTTTTCAATCAGCATATGTGTTGGTTCACAACTTGAACATAAACCCCTAAGCTGAACAGCGACTTCCCAATGCGGATGGAAGGTAAAAGTCATACATTTTGGAGTAGAAAGTTGCATAAAATATGTTCCTAAGGAAAGTGTTGATAAATATCAGAAAATGTTAGCCTGGCTTCCTTCTGTTTGCACTTAACTACTTGTAAATATGTAAGTAGTGATCGTTTTAAATGTATGGATATGGAAAAGGAAGAACCGAAAAAAATATTAGTGTACCTTTGTTTTATACTAAATGTATTTAAACTATTCTGTCATGAGTTGGATGGATTCTACTTTGCTTTGCACGAAAGCCTATTAGATAATTTGAAGCGTTTTCTTGTTGAGTATAATTACCTTGACAATACCAACACGTGCAGAGCCTCGGAGGTCTTCTCTTTATACCAATCAGAAATATTGCTTTATTGTTGTTAGCTTTGGCATGACTTCTAGCAGGTTGTCTCTGATTGGCTTTGCTTTTTTCCCCTTCTGTTGTATCTGTGGGGACATTGATGACTTGCTTACAATCTAACTCCAGTTACGCCAGAAGAAATGAAAAAAGAGGAAATTTTGGATTCCCTCAATCAACAAATGTTTTCTCGTAATTTGTATTTGTGGTTGTCTGTCAGTCTGCAGAAGTTGCCCAACGGGTTAGGGAAAAAATGATCGCTTCACCTTATCCCCATGTTGCTATGTGGACTACATTTGTATATATTGTCATTCTGTTAATAATGGTATTGTGTTAAATTTACTCGTATTGATGTTGTATGCTAAACTGTTGACATGATGATTTCGTGTTTCTAGTTTTGTTACAGCGTTGAAATAAATGCTCAGTAAGTATACACCATCAATCATGAAATTAAGTTACACATCATTCTGCGTTTTGGCAGTCTTGGCCAAAGTCTGGAATTGGATTGTGTTAACTACGTGCAGTCGAACCGGCGCAGCCATCTGACATCAACAGAAGAGGGCGATATCGACGAGAAAAACCGAAGCCAGTCTTTGGGGAATTTGGCATGCCTCCCCGAAATATTTCAAGTATACCTCACGCGCTCGCATTAGCATCAATATAATAGCAGGAAGCTGCACATTGACACGTATTTTTGACACCACCATAACCGTCAAAAATCATTACTACCAACCACTCTTACGGGACTAACACTTGCTAACACTCAAGGTCAAAACTCCAACATTGACCAATCATAATCGTTCATCTGATTATACTTTTTTTGTAAAGTTATTTCAATTCTAAACTAAGGTAAACAAATATATTGCGTATATTCTCAATATGCATTATATAAGATGAATCGGTGATAATTTTTGAAAATTACTAGAGAAAAGAAATATTAGAAGTTAACTTCCCCCATGTATGTACGTGTGTTTGTGCTTAATTCCAGAAATGTGTGTGTGTCTCTGTGTCTGGCTGTCTAAGATTTTCTCCAGAACCGGGCTCTGTATGAAGTCTAAAATCAGAGGGTGTATTGCCAGAATATGCAGTGTTAGGTCTAAAATTGTTGGATTGAGCGGTTCTCGAAAAAGCAAAAAAGCTGCAACTAAGCCCCATTTGTCTAATATAAAAGAGTTGGCCTGTGTGTCCATAGAGCTAGCTGACCTTCAGGGGGCACACCGGTAAATAGGCCTGAATCCATCCGTCGATGGATCGTACGCGAAGGTTGTGTACCGCTTATACTAGTTGGCTTTCCTGACTTTAGACCCCCCCCCTCTAAAAAGGTCGGTCTCTGGTCAGTGCGCGCGTCGATTTTAATCATGCGCGTCAATCTTGTTTTCCCCAAAATGTTCCGTGGTAGCTCCATTAGCGCCCTATATTGCCGCCCCTCCTGTTTTTTTTTTTTTACCAAAGAGCACCAAGGAATGGAAAATTGCACCAAGGCAAATGATCGAGAGCATCAAGTCAAATTATGGAGGACACCAATGTAGATGAGGACACCGAAAAAGCAAATCGTACCACCTTGTCTGTACAATCCAAGCTTGAAAAAAAGAAGCAAAAAACAAACAAACAAACAAACAAAAGCCGCGTCGCCGCGTCAATCCGGAACTTTGGTCTAACCAGAGTCTGAATATTTTTTTATTTTTTTTTATTTATATATTCTTTTTATACAGAATGAAAAAAAAAACCATATGTCAATGTATCTCTCTTTGTGGGGTGAAATGACTTGTTGTTTCGAAAATTATAGTTCACTATAGACTCGATTTTGAGAGCATCTTGAGTTTGCTTTGAAAAAGGGGAGGAAGAGTAAAAAACTAAACAATCTCACCCCAAAAAGTAAACCCGAAAAAGAGGTTAATATATACACCAAAAGCTATAAATATCGGTATACAGCTAACCAAAAAAAAACGTTGCACGAACGTTCTGAAAACGTTACGGCAATGCCAATAAGCCCAAAGTTCCTTGAACCATATCTTAAAAGCTATTGAGTCAAATTAACCCACCCCACCCCTGGCCGGGCAGCCGCCGAGTTTGCTGCTGAGGGAGGACTCAGACACAGAGAAATACGCATCAAAACACTAGACTAGGTTGTGCTGCTATCAATTCTTTCTTTTCTGTTTTGTTCCAATTTGCTTTTCAATTTTTCAGTTTAAAATGCATCGTTTGGGAATTTTACGTGGCGGCAGAATAAGAAGATCATAATTCACCTATGATCTAACTCAGCATTGGTTTTCCAGCATACTTGACAGTAAATAAGGGTTGTTGTATTCTGAAATTTAACGAATGTTTAATAATTTTATGTTGAGATTTTACCTTTTCTGACTAAATCTGATTCAATTTTCAAACATAGACAAAATCCCACATCCGTTGATTACGTGAAAAAAATAATGGCCGAGATTGTGCGAAATATGGTCGGAGATGTAAATATGTCTCTATGCAAATAGTGGTTAATTTTGAAATGCATATGTTTTGCATTTCATGTTCATATTTACACTATATCTGTAGCTTCAATCAAGTCAATGACCCTGAAAACATGGGTCTATAGACACCTCGTTGAAACGTTTTGACGAATACATATGGAGATATTGAAAAAAGTTGTATTTCCGATAATGTGGCAGATGCTAATTTACATTTTAATGCATAATATAGTGCACTGTCGCTGTAACCACAGCTTCAATGGAATCATGGACCCTAAAAACATGGGGTTAGACACCAAGATTGATAGAATTTGGACGAGATCTTGCTAATTTGCATATTAATTGATTTTAAAAAAAGATGCTGGTCAAGGGTGCCAAATTGGCAAGAGAATGCAAAACATTTTTGTGCGGACCATAATTCACGCTTCTGTGGTCAACCCCCGGACTATCAGATATAAAGACAAGTCGTCTGTTGACGTTGAGAAAAGTCGACTCGTATTTTTTTAATGATTATAATAGTCCAGCGGATATGTGCAAAAATTGTGCACTTCTGCATAAAAGCATGAAACATGGCACAGATATCTATAATCATAAGAGAAAATGTTTTAAATGTGGAGCTTTGCAAACTTACCCTTTGCTGACTGTCGTACAGACTGTGCTAGACATGTAAGTTGACACAGTAAAAAAAGGCTACACAAATTAATGTGTGCAGAGCATTAATGCAGAGTTTGATCATAGTTTATCCTATCCTGTCATGTAAATGTTATTGTAATACAGGTTTCGAAAACAGTGGCAACTGCACTGTAGTATTCCAATGCATTAACTAGGCAAAACAGTGTAACATGTATGTACATGTTCGATTACAAAATATCAAAACTTGTGCTTTTTGTTTTTG